TTCCCTCTTAGCAGCGCAGAGTCATTGGGGTGACAGGAACAGACAGGTATAAAAAGTAACTAAAAATTTAAAACGCATCAGAATTCTTCATAGCCAAAGACAGCAGTTTTGTTGAAAACCCTTGGACCATTTTTACATTCATTTTTAACATTTAATTTTGAGCAGTTCTAAAACTAAGATTTCACTTTCCAGATGGACTGTTTTTGCTAGTTGTCAATAAAACAGAAAACAAACATTCCTGAATGACAACAACGAATGAATGAGTGCTACTTATCGACATAACCACAAGACAGCCTGTTAACGTCACGGTTGCAGCAAACTAATGTTTTTCAGAGTAATATTTCAAGATGAAGGAGGAGAATTGATTCAGATACCACACACTGCCATGTACAAATCCCTGCCTCAAGTCATGATCCATCACCGGTCTAAACATCAGCAAGACCAAAACAAAACAAAATTTAGAGGTTTGTTTCCTTTTAACTGCATCAAACCATGCAAGATGAATTCAAGAAAATAATCTAGCTTGCGCCTTTTGAATTTTCCCTAAGAAAGTAAGCACACAAGACAGGTAGTCGTCCCTCACTAGCAAGCGTGACGTGACGTCAAGGACGCCTGGAGCAGCAGATTAGTCCCAGAACAACCTGAGCTGCTTCTGCCTTGGTTTTCTGTGGGGAAACCCACACAGGAAACCAGCAGGTTCTGTCAGCCACAAAACGAACAAAGTCTGGTTCCTCGTGGGTTTGTCTCTCATCCCTAATTGCAAGGGCTGATTTAAGTTTTTCATAAGAAATACAGGCTGTAATATTTATAAGGGCTTCTTTTGATAGACTTCTTTCCACATTACCTGGCTGCACCGTCATGAAATTTGGAAGAATTTAATTGGTATGAGTCCAGGCATTCGAAAGCTATTTGTAAGGAAACCTGGGCACCATAAGCCTATGTCTTACTTTTTTAGAAAGGCAGACTAAAAGTCACAAGGTTTACATAAAGGTTTTTTCCTCATTTTTCTGTCTTTCATTCTACCCAAGCAAGAAACAAACAAACAAAAAAATTGAATAGGAAAAAAAAAATCATTATAAATTTGTGCAGAAACAGAAGAAAAAAAAACCTTCAAAATATAGCAAAGTAGATGAGCTCCAGTCACAAAAACACATCTTTGTTACTAAGCAAGTAAAGTGATACTAGTTGAGGAGAAAATTTTTTTTTGATTCACAGATTTTATTCATCTTTATTTTCATGAAAGACCTCCTTAATAAAAGGCATTAAATATTTTAGAAGAAAATTCCTACCAGAATACTACTAATTCTTGATTCAATCAACAACCAGTACATCCTCCAAGTCATCAAACTGAAAGAAACAAGCCACCACAGAAAAAGTAAAACCTTCAAGGCTCACTGATTTGTAAACCTTTACACATCAAAAAGAAACCAAAGAATTTTTTTTGAAGGACAAAGGAGAATAAAAGTTAGAACGAGTTCCTTCTCCTCCTCCTCTCTGCATTTCCTCCAAATCTAGGATAGCATTTTCACCCTTCACGGCAGCTCCAGCTCCAGAGACTGTGTGGTGTTTTTTTCAGACCACACAAGAGGAAAATGAATGTGAAGATGAGAAAACTATTGTTTCGCACTGAATGCGTAAAATCAGATTCTGACAATAAAGTTACTGAATGTTAGAACAACTTTCTTAGCATCCTGCTCTTCCAGGCCAGGTAAGTGTTTCCACCACGCAGATTTAGATTTGCATATAATAAAATTTCAGAGCGGCTCTCCAAATTTCTTCCAGGTAGCTTTCACAGATTAACCATCACCTTAGTGATGGAGAGCTTACCCTTGGAAAGACTCACAGCTAACCATTAGGGGTCCTATTTAACTGGCACAGTAACCTTAATCACTGTTACATAAAAGAAGCAAAGTAGCCACTGAGGAAACAATCCAGTAGGAGAAAAGTCAGAGGGCAGACAGACTTCAAGGTATTCAAGACAAATCTCGGAGGTGCTTCCAGAAGGCTATAATGCAGGATGACAGTCTTGCTCTTCTAAATCCCTTGCAGGGTGGTCTGACCCCGGCAGCCGTAACAGCTGGATCTGGGTTTGGAGACCCTCTGTGACCCCCCCACCTCAACGGCGGAGGCTTTAGCCTACCTCCACATCACAGGAAAGCAGCTGACTTCCCCATCTGGCGGCAGCTGCCGTTGAAAATGCTCCTCCTGCACCTGCTGCAGAGATCCAGGCAGTTGTTAGACAGCGAAGCTGGAAGGGACAACTGCTGCTCCTAACACAGAGAGCCGGGCTGTTACTTCTGCAAAAGCTGGGAAAGCAACAAACAGCTGTTGCTGACTCAAATACAGAGTCAGGCTACTGTTGCCCCGACAGATAGTGGGTGGCAGTTGTTGCACAGAAGCTGGGAGCAAATGGTATTTGGCAGCAAGGCACAACTTATTTCACCTGTGGCACCATTCCCCTTCTTGCCAAGGCAGAACAC